CCAATAGCAATAGCAGTTAGACTTATATACCGCTTCATAGGGCTTTCAGCCCTCTCTAAGCGGTTTACAGAGTCAGCATATTGCCCCCAACAATCCGGGTCCTCATTTTACCCACCTCGGAAGGAGGGAAGGCTGAGTCAACCCTGAGCCGGTGAGATTTGAACAGCTGAACTGCAGAACTGCAGTCAGCTGAAGTAGTCTGCAGTGCTGCACTCTTAACCACTGCGCCACCTCGGCTCGGTTCAACTTTAGCTCAGCAAAGTCAAAACCGTCACAATACATCACGATATGTCACGTGACATGATAGAGTTTGAGTCCATGACCTAGAAGCAAGCAAAGTTATAATCAGAAGCCAACATGGCTTTGTCAAAAACAGATCATGCCAAACAAATCCTATTTCATTCTTTGACAAGGTGACTAAATTAGTGGACCAATAAAATGCAGTGGACTTAGTGCACTTGGATTTCAGTAGGCTCTTGACAAAGTAGACCACAATATACTTCTTGGTAAGCTAGAAAAATATGGGATAGATAGCATCACCAGATGGATTCGTAACTAGCTGACAATCCACAACCAATTTGTAGGTCTTAATGGAGCTACAGAAGTGGGTTCCTACCAGTTTGGACTGGTTCAGTTGAGTAGGTAGTAACTTGGCCGGCCACGCCCCCAAATTGGTTCTATTGGCGGCAGCGTAGGCACCATCATCTTGTATTTTGCTTTGCATGCACAGAAGCAATTTTGTCACTATTGCTCATGTGTGTGCACGCTCGAAGCACGTCCTTGTGCGAACCAGCCATAACAGAAGCCAGAACTTGGTTGAAAACTAATCAATAATGACTATGACACTGAGAATAATAAAATATTTTACCTTCAAAAGTTGTTGGTGCTCCATCACTGAAGGTTTTTAAAAAGAGACTGGACATCCATTTGTCTGAAATGGTATAGGGTCTCATGCTTGATCAGGGAGTTGGACTAGAAGACCTCTAGTCCTTCCAACTAGACCTTCCAATTCTGTTATTATGTTATATTGCAATTAAGCAAATTACAAGCAAATTAAACAAAAAAGGAACACTAAGTTCCTTCATGGCTATAAGTCATCATGGCTGCATCATTATTTCAGTAATGAATGCAGTAGCCTTTTCACAAAATTGTAGGGAATATAGGTTAGCATTACATGTACTTACTGGTAAAATGCAGAAACAGACGGTTGGACATGATTTCATTTCATTTGATTTAACACATTTTTAATGTTCTTTTGACTTATTTCTATGCAGATATGAAAAAGATTGTACTGTTAAAGTACAATCTTTATTGTTTATTTATTGCGCTTATGTGCCATCTTTGAATGGGTCACATAATTGGAATGAAGACAAAATGCTCACATGGAATTTCCCACTCAAAATGATATTAAAAGGATTACAAATACAATTACTAAAAGCATTCTTCAAAATGAGAAAATTATTAAAAATAGCACAGAAGGAAAAAGTTAGTCACAAGTAATCCAGGTATTTTAAGTAGACCCTAATATATATTTGCATTTATATTTTTATTTTCTTATTTCTAGATTTGAGATTGAGTGGGCATTTTTCCGAATGTCCTGAGAAGTACAAGTACTTCTGTGTCAAGGGAAGATGCCGCTATGTTGATGCAGTACAAACTCCATCCTGCATGTAGGTCCCAAATCCAAACATGCCTTTTCCCAAGAGTTAAACCTGAGCAAATAGGGATGAGATGGCTCAGTGGCTAAGACGCTGAACTTGTCAGTCAGAAAGGTCAGCAGTTCAAAACCCTAGCGCTGCATAACGGAGTGAGCTCCTGTTACTTGTTCCAGCTTCTGTCAACCTAGCAGTTAGAAAGCATGTAAAAGTGCAAGTAGAAAAAATAGGAATCACCTTTGGTGCGAAGGTAACAGTGCTCCGTGTGCCTTTGGCATTTATTCATGCCAGCCACATGACCACAGAGATGTCTTCAGACAGCACTGGCTCTTCGGCTTTGAAACAGAGATGAGCATCATTCTCTAGAGTCGTGAATGACTAGGGCATACATATGTGCGAGGGGAACCTCTACCTTTACTTTAGACCTAAGCATGACTTTGTATCTCCAAAGAATATGTCATGCTCTGGCCAAATATGTACTTATTTAAATCTGTTATTTACTAATGGCCAAGTGTTTTACTTATTTGAATTTGTTTGTTTTAGCTGTTCTTTCAATTCTGGTGTGAATACTGTAAAAACTCTTTAAAAATAATAATGCAGTCTTCCAATTATGGATTTTGCTCCAGGTTCTCTTTAATGTTGATGAGTAGACAAAATCTTACTTGTACAAGGATGATTGCTAAAATGCTAAAGCCTTATTTGTTATTAAGAAATTCATAAAATTTCTTAGGCAGTGCTTTGCATTGCCTAAAGAATGCCCACGAGGAGTCTCCCTAGTTTAGGTGTCCACTTTGCATATGATGAATCTGTGAGATTGAAGATGAGGTGGAAAGTGATGATTCTTTTAACCTTTTAAAATTATGAGTTATAACTTTTAAAAGTACTTTTCTTCTCAGATTAAAAAAGCCAATATCTTAGATTTGGTATTGCAAAATTCTGGACTTAATCATATCTATATTACAACCCTCAATATGCAACTGCTGAACTGGAAGATCCCATGCATAAGATTTAAAAAAAAGATTTAGAGTTAAAGTTAATGTAACTTTATTAATGAATTTTTATCTATCTGCTTAGAGGATAGTGGGAGTAATTGAATCTGTCCTGAGTTTATAATTAAGGTATACCTTCTCCATTACTTATTAGTTATGGTCATGATAGGGTATCAAGGATTGTTGACTGTCAGAAAGTAAAGATATGTCAACTATTATCAGGGATACTCAGTAAAGACAACTGAGGTTTCCTGATGTGCCAACTATTTTATAAGAAAAATAATTCTGGGTGTCTTTATTGTTAATTTATTTTATTATCATTTATCTTTATTTTTAAGATTCCAACAACACCAGAAATTACTCAATTTGTATAGAATATAAACTGGAACAGCTTTCTTCTATGATGAGTTGTTCTGGTACAGAGTTACTCAACCTTGGCAGCTTGAAAATGTATGGACTTCAATTCCCCCAAATTCCCAGCCAGTATGTTATCTGGATAATTCTAGGAGTTGAAGTTCGCATAGCTTCAAACTGCCAAGATTGAGAAACACTGATCTGGAAATACTGATTTAGTCCAACTGATGGGGTGCTCAGCCACAAAATACCTTAATTAAACACATGTGGAAGAACAGCATATATACCAAATCTTCCACTGTGTGTTTATTTCCAAATCTTTTCCTAATAAATTCCAAGCAGAAAGGGCGACACAGAGCATGCTGTCTAGAGAATTCTGGAAGTTGAAGACCACACATTAAGTTGTTTAGGTTGGCAAACATTATCATGTTCAGGTGATATTTCCCTGAATGCAGTTGAAGTTCTTCTAGATCAGGAATTCCATTGGATGGCAGTTTTCAAGCCCTAAGATTCATTTGCATGTGCAGTTTGTTTGCAGATCTGTCCTAGGTTCCCCCAATCTGTACCTTTCCGCTGTGTCACATTATAGTTCTCATAATCACCAGTTGGCATGGCTAATGGTGATGGAATTGTGATCTAACTCAAATAGAATGAACAATTGCTTTAGTCACAAGTGTGTACTGTATGTGGGATAGGTGCTAGTGTAGTAATAGACTTCAGTCTTGAAGGAAAAAAGAAAACCAATTTGCAAAACATTTTTCTATATTTTTTACAGCTGTGAGAGAGGCTACACTGGGGAAAGATGCGAGCGATTGGACTTATTTCATCTAAGAGGAGATCAAAATCAAATTGTGGTAGTTGCTTTGATAGCTGTTATGGTAATGCTTATCATCCTGATTGCATGTATCTGCACTTATACTCAGTGAGTACACCCAAATGAAAATTTGGCTTCTGTATGTATTTTCATGAAACTACAAATGTAGTTATTAAGTTAATCAGCCTTTAGCAATTAGTACTTTTGGAAGTTTCTAATACTGTATAATATACGTAATATCTACAAAGAAAATAAAACTGAATTTATTATTCCCAACTGAGGTAAATTTTCTTCCTTAATTCTAGTTATGTTAGAATTATGTTCTTCAATATTGTTTGTTTACATAAAGCTGTAGAAATTCAAAAAGAGGTTTTTTGAATCAAATTATAAATTTACTTATTTCCACATCTATGTTTTACAGTGGGTAAGATACCTTTAGGTGTAAGTGCAATAGTTTTGTTATACTATTGCTCCAAAGAAATAGTAAACTCCATGTAATTCTTTTTAATGTAATATAATAAATGGACAGAAATAGAACAGAATTATGTGTAACCAAGGTAACGTACTTTCTGTTATTGTAGCTTTTAAAACTGCTGTTTAAAGTTGCTAAGTCCTGTCTGACTGTTCCCAACACCATGGGCCATAGTTTGCCATGTTCCCCTAGTTGTCCATTGTCTCCCTGAGTCTGCCCAGACTTGCCCACAATGTTAATGATATTATCTATCCATCTCATTCTCTGCTGTCCCTTCTCCTTTTGTGTTCAATCTTTCTCAGCATTAAGGTTTTTTTTTCCAGTGAATCCTCTCTTCTCATTTGGTACCAAAGTATCTGAGCTTCAGCTTTTTAATAGCTGCATTATACTGCAGACTTACATTCTGTTATGGATGATCCATAATATCTGGATTAGCCCATGTAGAATTTTGGACCAGAAGCCTTTGATCTTGTCTAGGATAAGTGTTACGAATGTATGTATGTATATAATTTTTATAGCTAAAACATGTTGCAGATTATCCTTTTTTTAATAATTGATTTGGATTTAGTCTTACAACTTATCAATATATATTGATTATCGCTTTTTGGTTTAAGTTATTCCTCCCAGCTTCTTATCAGCTGCAAATTTGGTATCCGTTTTTCTGAGCCTGTGATAGACAATCTGTGATGTTATATAATGACATCTCTAATAATCTTTATGACATCTCTAATATTCCTGAGTATTGGTCATATTGGTGGGGGCTACTAGAAATTATGGATCAGCAGTATATAAAGGGGAAGAGATTCCCCAGTTGCGTCTAAGTTCTCATACAAGCCATTTATAAAATTATTGAAGAGCAGAAAATCTAGAAATAACACCCATAGCACACCATTTAAGAAACCTCTCCAGTTAATATAGTTAATGAACATTCAGTGGAGATACTGTTTCTGTGAGTTGAAAATTAACAAGTATAAATACAAGACTATTTTTTATTATTACTCTTGTGTTTTTGAATATATGAAGACTTGACAATGGATAGGGCCATACATGCAGTCCTTCTCATGCTCTGATCTCCATTGGATGGCTAGCAGAATTTGTGCTTACCTGAAGACAAGAACAGGGCTTCAGAGATAAATGAAGCAGATCACACAGCTGCATTTGAGTTGACCTGAATGCAAATGTTGCTCTGCTTTGATTTCAATTGGAGATAACATTCTCCTTCACCATAGACATACTCTAGCAACACTTACTTAGTTTCATTAGAAATCAGTTGTTTTATATGTATGTATGTGTGTGTGTGTATACATGCATGCATGCATACACACACACACACACACAAACACACAAACACACCTGGGACGTGGTGGCTCAATGGCTAAGATGTTGTCTTGTCGATCCGAAAGGCGGTTCAAATCCCTAGTGCCATGTAACGGAGTGAGCTCCCATTACTTGTTTCAGTTTCGGTCACCCTAGCAGTTTGAAAGCATGTAAAAATGCAAGTAGAAAAATAGGAACCACCTTTGGTGGGAAGATAACAGCGTTTTGTGCTCCTTCAACATTTAGTCATGCCAGCCACATACCACTGAGGCATCTTCGGACAGTGCTTGCTCTTTGGCTTTGAAAGAGTCAGGAATGACTAGCAAATACAGGTGAAACTTGAAAAATTAGAATATCATGCAAAAATTCATTTATTTCAGTAATGCAACTTAAAAGGTGA